GATAATTCAATTGCGTTTTTATTATAAAATAATTTACTTATTCCAAATGAAAATAAAAAAAATTATTATATTAATTTTTATTTCGTATTATTTCCAAAATAAATATTTAAACATTCTTTAGTAGTAATTTAATAATTATCATCTACATATGGGTAATGCATACACATTATATACCTATACATACTACATTTGATAATGATATATATATATATATAACTTAACATATTTTCTTAAAACAAAAAAGCTTGAAACTATCGAAATAAATCAGTAGAACAATTTTCTGCGGTGCGAAAAACAGGGTGTATCACGCTGTTGTAAATCACACGCACACCAGATAACGTAACAAATTGCTCGGCATCGGGCCTGATCGAGAGCAGAATGGAAACGTGGACAAAAAGGACAGCGGCTGAAGGAGAACAAGGGATCGAACACCTTTATCGAACTATCGACGAGCCTCTCGTACCAATTCCTGCGCGTGTAATTTCACGCCCAAATCGCGGAAGTTATGGCAATAGGGCTGGCGATACAAGCCATAAACGGGGTTGCCTGACCGTGAACGTACGTATATATATATATATAGGTCTCTGGCGAGATCCGAGGCCAGGTATTTTCTCTCTCTGGCGAGGCCCGGTCCCTTGAAAAACAAACAGTTAAAGCTAGGTGGTCCCTCATTAAGTTGGCACTACTCTCGGGTCGTTCCCCTTTAATTCGAGTCGATTCCGGTGCCGCACATAGAGAGAGGGGTCTCCGAAAGGACCCCAGATCCCTCGGGGCCCTATTATACACGCGCGTACGTTTACGCGCAGACAGATACGTATATGCGAGTTCGTGTGACAGGACGAGTGAGATGTTAGCTATGCAGAATCAACGTGTTCGATACGTGTCACCGCGTTGATACGCACGCTGGCTTCACGCACGTGTTCATATTTCACGTGTACGAATGCTAGCGGAGGATGTTATTACCGCGACTGCGAGAACGTAAAGAGAGAAATTATACTCAATCTTCCTCTAAAACTGGTCGTACCGTTCGCTTTTAGGAGGTTGTTTTCGACATTAATCTTGAAAAAATAATAATTATTTTCGAAGAATCGAGTTGGTAATCTCCGCCAGAGCATGGCTTCATGATAATTTGTACACGCAAAACGTGTGACCACAGTTTATTTTGTCTTGGCAGAGAGAAATATTTTAGAGAGAAGAATCTTTGTGAAAAATGTAGAAAGAAAATCATCAATTATTTTAAAAGTGTCGTCATATATGTGTCTTCTTAAAAAAATATTTCTGTAAAATATAACTATGAACTTTTGCGTACTTGATAGCATTAATATAAATTTACTGACTAAATAAAATATAAATTAAAAATTTTAGTTGTATAATACTTATAATTTAAAACAATTTGTTATGACAAATATCAAGCTAATAGCTTCTCTATAAACGTTAAGATTAACGTATAATAGTAATGATTATTCTCGACTCGAAGGTTCATAGCATCAAAGATCATACGTAGTTGCCGATACGTAGTTCGCGCAATACTCGCAGCATAAGGAAAATGCCCGATAATGGAATTACGTATAGAGAAGGGATTAGCGAAATCCCTCGAATGCAAAAGCTTATTCTATAATCTGCACAACATGCCCGCATCTCCAATGCGAATCACGAGCGAACTAACGAGCGTATTGCACTTAATTTTTTTCTCAAAATATTAATGCTATTTTAGATAATTTTCATTTATTTATATAAAACACTACGAAATTTAGCTAAGACTGTTATAATCGATTTTTCTTGTCCCAATTTCCTTTTTTTTCATTATTCTATATTCTTCTTTCTGTTAAAATTATAAAAATTATGATCAAATTTATTAATTTTGATGTCCACATATAAATATAACAGATGAGGTTTTTTTCTATCATTGTTATCGATTTCTCATGATTTATATTTTATTGCTTCATTAACCTGATACAGCAATTATATAGGAATTATATAGGAATTATATAGGATTATAATGAAATATGAATGCAGACGATTAAGGAAATGTATTTAATAAGAGCCGTTATTGTTCGTGTAGTTATAGCTCGTTGGGTCGGCAATTCGATCTTTGAAAATTCGCACATGCACACGTTCGCGTAATACTATAACACACAAATGTAAATTCGACGTTACACTGTATTTATTTATACTTGTGGTTTTATTTTACAGATACGAGTCAACTTTGCGGGAAAAGGACGATAACGTGGAAAAATTACGTAAGTAATACTTACTATATATACATATATGCACATACATCATATTTTATATATGCACGCGTATTATATATATATATATATTTAGTTAATTAGTGAATATCGGTCAATTAACCAATAATTGATAACGGATAGCCGCGTAACGTTAATCATTGTGTTATAGATCTAGCGTCATCTCCCTTCCGTTTCCTTGATAAAGAACACTGCATGTTACACACGCACACAATTCTCTAACAAACAAATTCTTCCCACGCCTATATCACGCAGAATCTGTGAGTACACTAAGAAATTTAGTAACTCACATGAGCAATGTGTAAAATGTCTACAGAAATATTTCTTTAATTAGCTAGTAATAAAATGTTATAATTTAACATTATTAAGATTTTAATCAATTTTCAAGTATAATACAGAATCGAAACATTGAAATTTAAATACAAATATTTGAATTTTATTATACTTTGAAATATGAAAAACTTTTGCAATAATTAAAACAATCTTATTTCATAACGATCTGTGTCATAATAATCTTTGTAAAAAACTTTTGAAATACCATTATATTTCAATAAAATTATATAAGGAGAAATATTCATTAATTTAATTAAAAAACTAGTAAGCTTTCTTATATATTTTAATCAAGTCGTATGTGTTTATAATAAAGTATTGTATCTATGTAAATATCATGTTCTAAAAAAATTCTAAATCTCGAAAAATTAATCGTAATTATCATTATATTTTATAGAGAGTTGGTTCAATAAATTTAATCTCTAGTCATTGAAAAAATTGATAAACGCGACTTATCGAATGTACGCTGAATGATTTCACAAAATATTATTTTTCTTTCAGAGGCGAATTTATATCGGAAATAAAATTTCAAGCCATTAAAAGACAAAATAATTTTGTTCGGAAATATTTATTCAGAAAAGCATCTTATGATTAGTTCTCTTTATCTCTGTTTTTATAATTATTATTCATTGATGAATGAAATATTTTTTTATACGTAAATTTTATAGTAGTTAGATTTTTGCAATTAAAAAAACATTTATTTGTGATAAGATTGTAATTTAAATTTCAATATAAATAATATCATGGATTAATATACTAAGATTTTGCGTTATAGAAATATTTTATCGACAAGAGCATCGCGTACTCATTTCGATTCTTCCTTTGCAAGTATCCTCGCACAAAATTAATCCGGTTCTCGAAGAAACATGCACTAGCATTTATGTCTTCGTTATGTCGGCATATTTTATGATGTTGTTCGTATAACTGCTGTGTTTACGATTTTATTGAATCTGCTTATGCCGGTTTTACTTGGTACGAAATGCGTCTAATATGTCTCGCGTGAAAAGAAAAACGCAATGAATTCTTGTATTTTTAAGAATAGTTCTGAGCATGCAATAAACAAACATCGAATCGTATATGGTCAATTAGATTCGACTTTCGAGGATAGATACATTATTGCAAAATCATTAATGATTCGAAAATTCTAAAGGTAATAATTTATTCAAATAAGCCTTTTAAATAAGTTGGATAGAATTAGATAAATCAATTTTACAATATTTAGAGAAGAGATGAAACATTATAAAAGTTTTTATACTTTGATTCTCTCAATTTATAATTTAAAAAATGAACTCATTCAATTTATATGATTGATATACCTGATTTTGATAAATCAAGCAAATATTTATTATTGAAATTATTATCTATATGAATATTGAAGAGGAAAGTTAATGTTATATCGCACTTACCTTTGTTTCTTATATGCTTTATACTTTAACTTTGTACAACTACATTATTTTATAATTTTATCTCTTCTTGCTTGGTTTTTCTGACCATTTATTAGAAGTATGGCTAAAGTTTCGGTTAAGTAAGTGTTTGAAGTTTTACACCATTTATTCGAAAATATTATGCTAAAGTTCTCAGATTATACCAACTCTAAGTATCCAAAATTGATGTTGACAGCTTAAGAGATATCTCTTTTCATAAGAGAGTTAACCTTTTGCTTTCGAAATATTTTTATCGTGACATTAAGCTATTACACTATTTTATATTGAAAGTTCATGCTCCGAGTTCAATGTTTTTCAATAAAATTAAAAGGTTTAATAATAACGCGATAAATCATCTACATCTGTAAGCCCGATTAACTTTGTCTTTAAAGGTAAACCGCCTGATATAGCGATTGATATTCTTATCATTATTTATTTAAGGAATATAACTGGAAAGAGATAATAATGTGTGTGTAAGAAACTAATACTCTCGTGACATATAAAAGTCATATGCAACATAAATATCTTATTCCTGCAAAGTTATTATCTCTTATGCTTGTTCATAAAAGATTAATGTTGTATCACATGTCGTTAGGATTTTTCATTGATTTCAACATATGTACTTGTAAAGCTGACGTTTCATTTCAATAAATCTACAGACATCCGGTTGTCTTTATTTTATAGTTTAATTAAATTTTTGCTTTTAGAAGGCAAAACTGTAATAGAACTATACATTTTTAAAATCCTGATAATGACTGATAAGAAAAATACTGTAGGCATTTAACAAAGTGAGACGCTACGTGAATTTATCTTAGTTTATCTGAAGACATTTTGTTTAATGATCAGAACTATTGGTTTAAATAATCGAAAACTCTCGAACTATTGAAAATAATGCCAGAACTCTCAATTATTTATAAGTTTCATCAAATGAGACGCTCGTTTTATCTAATCTCTTCCCGTTACTGCTATAAAATGTTATAAATAATTTCTCACTCACCGATACGATGCAATATCGGAGTTATACTACACAGCTACATTGATCTGAAAATAAAATATTCAAATTATGTATATACATACACACACATATATATATATATATATATATATATATATATATATCCCATGGAGATAAATAACTTTACCAGTAGCAAATTAATAAATTGAGTATAATTGTTATAAATTATATTTATGTTGCAAATACCTCATTGTTGACCCGATGTCGCCCGATGCCTCCCCGGGCCTCCTCCTCCTTTCTTGGTCTTTTGTAGCACTCGCGACACTCGCGAAAACACGAATAATTACGATCGCCCGACACTTTACACGGCACTCTCGACGCGCGATACTTTACACGGCACTCCCGACGCGCGATACTTTACACGGCACTCCCGACACGACGCGTGAATCGCACGCGTATTTCGCGTACATTGCATAATGAGAAAAAACGATGCAAAAACTATAAACTCACGAAACAACATCCGTTCGGCACTCGAGAATCTCGCAGTCAAATTCACGTAAAACTTATTAATAATGCTATCTGTAACAATTAAAATACATACATATATTAGAACAATTTTATTATTTCGCATTAAATGTATTAGAAATAAATTATATATTATATAATAGTACATATATATTATATAAAATAAAATAAAACGAAGCAACATCTGTTCGGCACTCGAGAATCTCGCAGTCAAATTCACGCAAAACTTATTAATAATGCTATTTGTAACAAATAAAATACATACATATATTAGAACAATCTTATTATTTCGCATTAAATGTATTAGAAATAAATTTATATATTATATAATAGTACATATATATTATATAAAATAAATATATATTATATATATAATATATATAAAATAAAATAAAACGAAGCAACATCTGTTCGGCACTCGAGAATCTCGCAGTCAAATTCACGCACAACTTATTAATAATGCTATCTGTGACAAATAAAATAAATACATATATTAGAACAATTTTATTATTTCGCATTAAATGTAGTAGAAATAAATTTATATAGGTATTATATAATAGTACATATATATCATATACAATAAAACTGTAAATATATGTATACATATATAATTATGTTACATTACTTGAAAATTAAAAAGAGAATTATCAGTTTAACGTGAAAAGGAAAATCGTATATTTATCAAAGTAGTCGACACGACATAATCGTAACATTAAAAGGATCTCATCACTCTCTGCAATTTCTCTGGCCCTTATACTAAAACAAAACTCGAATATGATCAGTTCTTAAATATGACCAGACTAAAAGTAATCAACGATTTCGAAGAAAATATTCTTGATATCTCCATTACTTGTTGGACGCGTGAATTCCTGCTCGTTTTCTCGTCATCGGCATGAACTGTGAGATTGAATGGCGGCACGGAAGGTTAAAGGAAAATGCAGACTTCGATTCGACAATAGGCTACCTACGGCCCCTTACACCCCCACTCGCTCTTTCTCTCCCTTTTTTTCTATCGTCCCTTTTTGAGTATACTCCGGAATCTCGACCGGACCAGCTGCTTTAATGCTGCGGAACTGACTGTAACGCGCCGGCAATTGTCATGGTCTCGTGAACTGTAAAGCGCGCTAGGGAACATGCCACGAGCGATTCTGTCCAGGTTTATGTTGCATCCTCGACTGTTGACATTTGCCACCGGGCCTGGGTGTTGTCTGCGATCGCCGGCACGAATCGTTTACATCGAGATAGAAATAGGGATAAAATAAGCAAATACATATATAGATATCGAGGGAAGGACCGTGACAAGGATTTGGTTGCCCGGTTAATTAGGCAACAATGGTAGATCATGAGGGACACACGTCCAGGATTTATATTCAAAGTATTTTACTAGAGATTTAGTCTACTATAATCTGTGAAATTAGTTCGAAAAATAATAATGGCAAATAGACGAAGGCACATTTTTTACGAAACTCAAATTGTCTCTATTGTCAAAACTTTTATTTCTTCTATGAATTATTTTGTTTATATTTATTTTTATATTTCTTTCTAATAAATGTACTTATTTAGTTTTTCGAATATTACATTTCATATAAATTTTAACCTTTTCTTTTATTCCTTTTTGTTCTCACAATAATTCTTTCCCTATCCTTACAATGATATTCCTCACTGTCGGATTCTGTTTGAAAATAATTTGCCTGCGCTTGTTTGACTTTTGTCTGAACGTTTAAAGTTAACTAGCATAGAATTTAAATTCTTAAACAAACTCGAGCTTTCTTTGATTCATTGTACGAACTGTGACGGCAGTTATCGAGAGACGTTATCAGCCGTGCGAAACGACGCCACAAATTCCATACGATGTTTTAAGACGCGTTTGCGAGCCGCCGCGCCGTTGGATTAAAGCGTCATCGCGGTACCGTGTCACCGAGTACAACTGCGATCCTGCGAACGACCCTTCGGAGAATAAACTCCCTTCCAGTATTTATGGACTTTTGGGATTAGCGGGGGCGAGGGAGCGAAGTAACCTCCGCGCACGAGAGAGCATCTCTTTTGTAAACTCGGTCACGAAACACCCCGACGACGAGAGGCGACCCTCTCCTGCCGCGATGTAGATCGCGATCTACCTTGTTTATGCGATACTCTCGCATAAGGGGTGCTCTTTTGTCCGCGGTTGATTCTCGCCGGGAGATACTGTCGAATGAATTTCGGGATGGCGACGATATATATTTCGCGCCCGACTCCGCTTCCACGTGGTCTTTACAAGCTCATCTGCTCACGTATGTTTTTTTCACAGACTTCAAACGCAAACCCATTTATCAATGCAATTTTGATTTTGATTTGATGTGTACAACACGGAAAAAATATTAGCCATCATAGCTGAATTTTATAGCTCTATATTACACCTAAAATTTAGTTATCATGCCTAAATTTTAGCAATGGTAACTAACATTTTTCAACTGTAGTTAAACTTTGTTAAACTACAGTAAAAAAATATTAGATATAAAAATGTCATAGCTAAAAGGCATGATAATTGAATTTCAGATATAATATAGGTATGACAGCTAAAATTTAGCTATGTGTAAAATTTTTTTATATTGCCTATTATATTCTATTCTTATTTATATTTAATTATATGTACGTACATTACGATTCTCTTTAACGTCATTCATCGTATTTTAATTATTAATTTATTGCTTCTTTTAGCTCATTAAAATAATAAATTTTCATTAGTTCAATCAAAAGAATAAATATAATATAGTACTATAAGCTAATATTTAAGTAAAGATGAGAAAAGTGAAGGTGAAGCGTAGTCCACCTTCACGTCAACAGAAACTTCTCGATGTTTTCCGCAGTTTTCGAGACAGGCGTGCGTTTAAATGCGAGAGTTTGCGACCTCTCCCTTGGATTGTTTTCCTTCATCGTGGATAATTTCCCGTCTGCCACTTGCACCTCGCGCGGTAATTTATTGTAAACGCGAAGGCGGACGCGCCGGTTTAAATGATTTTCCTGATACGGCAGCGAACGGATGGACGGACAGACACGGAAACGTTTTCCGTCGCGACGTTAACGATTCATTACAAAAGTGTAAATTAGCGAAAATCGTATCTCGCAGCTATCTCGTATTGCTCATCGCCGGAAATATGCCATCATCGTTCAAGAAACATGAAGTTTTTAATATTGATATATACATAGAGATGATTGACTTAAAAACTGTTTGCACAATTTATGTATTTTTCGAGATTGTTCTTAAAATTATATACACATACGTATTGTGACGCGAATACTTTTCATTAATTGTAAACAAGTCATTTAATAAGTTTTGGAAAAATTATGCATTATTAACTGTTAATATAGAATAAAATCTTATTTTCAATGAATTTCGGATTTTCTTAATTATTATTTCAATACAATCTAAAATTATGTAATCAAGGAAATATTAAATATCAATTATTGGAAAACTGATTGTGAAACACAAAAATGGAAAATTTTAATGGAAAAGAAAGATTTTAATTTAATCGAAGTTTATCATGTACATAAATGACAAGCGCTAATTTTAAGACACTTTGTCTTATGATTAGTTATTTTAAATTAGATTCGTTCATTTAGCAAAACGAAGATTTGGGCATCACAAAAGAAACTTGTTTTCTTCCGCTTATTTTAGACGACTTCGATATCTCCAAAAGTATTTTGAATTAATAATTGAAATATAAAATAAGCTTATAGAATAAATTTATAAATATATAACTGTCATTTCGATAAATAAAATATATCGAGTCCGTATTCGAGAAGCAAATATTTTTAGAATGGAAACAATACTTCACTTTGCATTCGTATAATCGATGAAATACGTAGTATACAGTAACGTTGCTTTAATTTTGTAAACGATAATACTGAAAAACAATGTCTATAAATAATAACTAAATAAATAAATAGAAATTTGCATTCAATATTTTATGAAAGAACATTTTGTCATAAATTAATTTATAATTCATCATAATTTCATAGCACTAGCGTTAGTATGAAGTTTTCATTTTTCATGTATCTTTTATCAAGTTTCATTACAGATATTGTTAAATTTATTATATTAATCAATCAATTTTGTTTCTTTAAATCTTTTTATTAAATATTATATTCGATATACAAAAAATATTTATTTAGGAATCTAAAACATTCTAAATATATACTAATATATAAGTATCACATAAAGAAAATATTTAATATTTTAAAAAATCAAAAGAATAAATAGTACAAAAGCATTTTATGTATACTTTTTCCGTTGCCTCATTGAAATAAGCAAATTAATTATATCAATTGTATTATATATATAAATATTATATAAGATATATTATCCATTTTATATTCTTATCTGTTTATATATACATACATAGGTATATGTATATATACAAATTTCAATATATTTTTCTTTGTATTATTTTTATTTCTTTGCATTATCATTGATTAATATATTATATATAATTGCTATTATTGATCTCACATTATTTTCCTATTTGATTCATACTAATAATAATATAGGTAGCCACATTGTTTTGATAATGTAGTACTGAAGGAATGAAGAACAGAGAGAGTATAAGCTGTTTATATGTGTGGATTATGTGTGAAAATCTATCGTCCTTGTAACTGTGTGACTCGTAATCAAACAAACAATGTACATACAAATTTTAATATATTTTCCTTTGCCTTATTTTTATTTCTTTGCATTATACCATTTATTAATAAAATATATTATAATAAAATATAATAAAATATATATTATAAAATATATTAATTAAATATATATAATTGCTATTACTTAAATCACATCATTTTCCTGTTTCATTCATTATAATAATAGTAGGTACTCACATTGCTTTGATGACGTTGTATAGAAGGAATGCAGAACTGAACACAAGTTATTTATATGTGTGGAAATCTATCGTCCTTGTAACTATGTAACTGTAATCAAACAAAACAATGTATATGAAATTGGTATTTATTTTCTTCTATGTAACAGTATCAATGATTAAATAATAAGAGTTTAATACATTTTATCTCGAGATGAAATTGAAGAAAACAAATTTATTGAACGAAAGCGTTCGTTTGACACGAATTGAATACGAAGTCACGATTTCAAGCGTTGTAAATCGCGTACGTGATATCGGAATATCCCGATGCGAGAACCGCGACTAATACTCTCTCCGAGAGAGATATCGATAACTATGAATTCAGTCATTTCGCCGAGAACTTTGCGGTATTGCACAATTTCGAACTTTTCGCAACTTCCAAATAGCTATTTTACAAGTTTCAATAACGGTTAATACTTTAAACGCCATAGGACGTCTATAAGACTGTTCAATATTTCACGATGTTCGTAAATGATACCTCAGCTTTAATATGTAGACAGATTTTTTTTCGAAGATTCCTTCTCAAGCGGATTTAAAGAAAAAGAAAGAATGAATGAAGAAAGCATAACAAAATCTCATATATTCTTGTTCCGAGAACCCGTCTTCCGTTTCCACGCCAGTGTGTGTATGTGTGTGTGTGTGTGTGTGTATGAATGAGAGTGAGAGTGTTAACCGATAAATTTTCTGTCTCGCCAGACTATATCGACGCGAATTGTTAGATAACCAATCATATATATATAACACGGTATCGTTAGTCGAAGATTCGCGCTATCAGCTTGGTCGCGCAGGAATAACACGATCGCAAACGGTGAAACTGACTTTCAAGTTGGCCGCGACGAAAATTCCACGGAACGCGTTTACACGAACCATATAGTTAGAAAGAGACGCGCGAGGAGAGAGTATCTTCACCGACTTGAAGGTAGTCACGGGACGCAGCGGGGTCGGGCGCGGAGCACGTAGGATACGCAGAGGGCCGAGGTGAGTCGAGAACTGCCGAGCAGTATGGTGGGAGAAGCGAAGTGGTGGGGGAAGCCGCCGCCGCCGCTCTACTGCGGTGGTGGGGGGGAGACGCTCGCTCGTTCCCTGCGCTCACTCAGTTCCTCCGTCGCCGCTGTGAGGAGTGTGTCGTGCCGATGTCAGGGAACGTTTTGTCGCGCATTCTCGTTCCCTTCGGAGTCGCGTCGCGACGGGTGTTACGTTTGTGCTTCTAATACGCTTCATTACGCTCTAATACGTTCTTAAACGGCGCCCTTTGTCATCGTCGCCGTTTATCTCGCCGCGATATTCCACCATGGAGACTCGCAATTTTCGTGCGTTACGGTGAAATAGCGCCACGGGCGCTATCGCGCGACCAACTTCAGGGTGTACGAAATTCACAGTGAAACGCGGGCGTCTTTCCCGCGCGTCGCGAAATCTCAATTGCGCGATATCGCGAAGTGGTGCGTTAACTTGATTCGCCCCCGGGGATCTGATTCGTTCCTGGAATCCGTTCGAGGAAATCCTCCGAGACGAAGGACCGATAGAGGAGAAAACGGAGTAACGCAACCGGAGCCGGAGATTGCAGCCGTCGGCAGGACGTGCCTCGGCTAAGTTCGCGCAGCCAGTATCTGTGTCAGGATCGCTTGGCGGGTCTCCGAATTTCAGGAAATTTCGACAGGATATAACGAGGCCGGACCTCGATCAGTGTGTTTCGTGCGACGGTGACAGTGACAGTTTGGTTCTGTTTCGGTTTTTCATTTTTGTGCGATGTGCTACCGTCCCACCGTTCTCCGAATCTTCTGTCTCGTAAGTACCACAAATTTATCGGTTCTCAATTATTTATCTGGTGTATCTCTGTGATTGTTTTCTTCTAATTTTGTTCGGCATATTCACGCTTGCGATTCGATTTCGGAGATGCGCGAATATGGTGTGTGTGGCGTCTCATTTCCACTGCATGGAAATTGATAAATAATTAAAAAGTTTTGGGACGAATACGTTTTTTTTCGATTTTGAAGCGGATTATGTGCGGATTTCAGTGCTGCCAACTGTCAATCTGAAATTGATAATTTTACACATGTGTACCAAATCGCGTCGTTGCGATGCAATACTTGTGACAAGCTGCGATTTTGGCGCTTCAATCACGGTCTAATAAATTACCTAGATGTGCATTAATTTACCAAATCGCGCACAATCTCTAACGTAAAAAATTGCGTGCCATCGATTTGCACACTAAAAATATTGTTAACCTGTCTAAACCTTTCAACTAAATATTATTTTATTAATTGAACATATAAGAATATTTAAATTAAATGTAACATTAAATTTTACAAAATGTATATTTGACTTAAATACTAATATATTTAATTAACACTAATATGTTTAATTAACAAAATAGTAATTTAGTTGAAAGATTTAGTCAAGTTAACAATTTTTTTTTCAGTGCAGTGATTCATTAGCCGCTTTATTTTCAAGTGTTTTAAAGTTCTTGAGACTCCTGAGTTTAAACAAATAGTTCTGATTGTTAAAGCAAAAAATGCTGTAGGACAAAGTGCTTTCACTTCAATATCTGTATACTGAAAGAAATTCTTAACTCAAAGAAGACCCGATTGCACGAACATTATTTTGGCTTTAAAATGCAAGACTTAAATATGTATCTATCTTTATTTTTTTCTAAATAAATAAAGATGAAGACATATTTAAGTCTCACTTAAAGCTGAAATGACGTTGGTGCAATCAAGCCTAAATCTTTCATTAAATTTACTATTTTGGTAGTTTAATATACATATATTAATATTTAAGTCAAATATACGTTTTGTGAAATTTAATAGATTGTATTTAATTTAAATATTTTTATATGTTAATTAACAAAATAATATTTAGTTGAAAGGTTTTGTCAAGATAACAAACTTTTTTAGTGTAGATATACATATCCGGTTATCTTTAATTAAAATATATATATATATTTTGAAAATGAATATAGAAAGTATATACTAGCATATTTTTATAAAATTATTTTTTTTTCTTGAAATATAATACTTTCTTCTTGAAAATGAAAATGAAAGAAGAAACTAGAAGCAACTTGTCATCGCGAAGTTTACTTAACTCTATTCTGTCATGTCAGGAGAAACGTGTATATTTTTATTCACATCTGACAATGAGAAAATTAAAATCTTTTTTAATTTTTAAATATAAAAAGAGAACAAAAGATGTGTATCCACACAAATTAAGAATTGATTAACATTGTTAAAATATACATCCACTTATAATTTCATAATGACAGAAAAGCGAGATTTTATTAGAATTGCGAAAATGTATATTTAATATGTATGATATAATTCAAGCATTTATGCGGGATAGATCAATATTGAACTTTGTGGCAAAATTTAAAGAAACATCGCGGCATCGCGCGGAATAAGTTTTACCGCCATCGCGTAGCGGAACTTCAGAATGAAGTTCTTTGAAATTTAGGTGCCGGTCGCGTGATCGAGAAGTAGATTCGAGGGGAGCGCGCCTGATGATTCATTTATATCAATATTGGGTGGGCGCGGAGCGATTAGAGTTCGTACCGTTGCGTTGTCATCCGTACACGCAACGCACGCACTCATCACTTGCGTAACACTTTGCGGCTTGTCGACATTCTATGACGCCCGTCGTCTCGTAATCCTCAGCTAATTGTTCAAGACACAATGCAACAGATGAAAAGACATTTATTTTGTCATATCATCTTTTCCTAATATCGTGTGCGTGAAGCTATAGTGTGTCTCATTTTGTGACATATGCTCGAATTGTATTGTACCAAATAGGTACATTTGCAATTCTAAGCAAATGTCTTCCTGTCATGAAATCAAGTGGATCTATATATTTACAATTTTAATTAGTACTAAATTAGTACAAGTATATTCATCTTTTGGTCCTTTCTTATATATTTTAAAAATTAAGAAAGGTTTTGATTTTCTCAAATGTGAATAAAAATATACATGTTTCGCCTGATAGAATAGCTACATTAGAGTTGTAAACTTTGCGATGACAAGTTGCTTTTAGTTTTTTCTTTCATTTTTATTTTCAAGAAGAAAGTATTAATATTTCATAAAAAGAAAACGGTACCTTTTTTTAGGAAAATAATGCTAATATAGGTACTTCCATATATTCATTTTCAAAAAATATATATATGTATTTTTTAATTAACATGTATATGCCTCACGTGCTATAAAAATCTAAAAATTAAGAGAAGACTCTTATTTCATTATTTTCAATATCGAAAAATTAAGAAAATGTCAATTTCGAGTGAAATGATGTATAGTCACGTGCTCAATTCTTAATAGTTGATTTTACACATAGGTCTTGTTTTGCAATATCATGATTTATCGTATCATTGTTTTGATGACAGTTTTTAATTAGAAACACTTGTCATTAATTATAATGTGTGCAATTAAGAAAAAAATGCTCATCATTCGCAAAATATATAATTAACAACAAAGTACATATCATAGTTTGTCATTATTAAACTATACCTTTGTTTGAACAATGAAGTATCATATCATTGTTTTTCAAAATTACAAAACCTAAATGCAATTGTCATCAAAACATTTAATATTGCTTTATTATAAAAATAAAACATTTAGGAAATTGTAAAATAAATATCCAAAAAATTGAAAACGATTATTAAGACTTTGTTATTTATGTTCGTATTTAATAAAAAATTCTTATTAATTTATATTATTTTACATTGTTCATTCACATTTATTTAAAAAAAACTTTTAAATCATAGAACTGCTGTTTTTTCACAATCAATGTTTTTTTCGACATTGTATTATCAAAAACAAGGCAAGATGTAAACGAGAAATTATTTACGAGCGGGCTAGCTGATGGTCGCGGACTTTCGTGTAAACAGACTAGTTTGTATTCTCGGGGCAACGTGCACGCGCGCTTTGAGCATTGACTTGTAAAACGAGACCAAACAGGAGGTCTTCCCGCGGGACACGTCAAAGCGAGCCTTCCGTCGCTCCCGGTAATCTTTGGCTTAATGACACGACATCGCGTCGCTTGCATCGTCTCACGAATTATCCTTAGAAATTCAAAGCAGCTCGGTAGTCACAAATTTAAATCTCCAAATGCGCAAGTTTCATTCGCCGTCTGTGCGCGATCCAGATCTTTGAAAGCTTAAAATAAGTTTTCTGATATAAGAAAAAGATAGTCTTTTCTAATATCTAGAGCTAGTAGTATATTTAGATATCCTCAAAAATCAAATTACGTTTCCAGAAATTATATATCTTTTGATATACAATATTAAATGTACGATAAAATATAAATAAAGCAACTTTTGATTGAACTAAACTTTTGATTGTGCATGATAATATTTTGATGATAATTGCATTTAGGCTTCGTATAATTTTGAGAATGTATTAAACATGTAAACAATGATATGATACTTTATTGTTAAAGATATAGTCCATTTTTAACAAACTGTACTAATAACATGCACTTCATTGTTAATTATGCCTCTTGCAAATGATGTGCACTTTTTTCCTAATTGCGCACATTATGATAATGACAAGTGTTTCTAATTAAAAACTATTAGAACAATGATGCGATGATTAATCATGATATTGCAAAACAAGTAAGTAAAACTATTAAGAATCTAGCGTGTGCGCGTGACTAGATCGTTTTTCTGCAATTGACATCTTCCTTCTATTTTCATTGATGATAAATCAAATTTCAATGCGAGAAGTTGCTGATTGAAAATCAAAGGTTGCATTTCCGCGCCGCTACCGAGATTTCTCTCTGTCGCAAAAGTTGCGAAAACGAAGTACGGATTTATTCACGCGTGGAAAGTAAACCTAGCAATTCGTAGTAGCACACTTGAATTAGAATTGATTTCGATTTTGCATTGTAAATTTGTAAAAAAAAAAACACTAATGGAAAATGGAGAATTGCATTATTAAGTTTCAAACTTTCACACATTTTTCTCTTTTGTTTTCTATTAAATAGGAGACACAAATAAATTGGATTACTATATAAAAAATATCATACATGTGTCATAGAGTTTTGTTATACATATATCATGTTTCACGATGCATTAATGCTTAACACACGAGTAAATTTTGCTTATGCAGCACAAAAACAAACAGACGATTGCATTTCTAATCAGGCGAAATAAAATTTACGTAATTAACATTTTTCAGATTCAATTTCCATGTTTGTTCGTAGCAATATATGCGAGTTATATTTGTATAGCATTAAAAGTTCATTTTTTATATAGCTTCTAGATATGTAACATTTATTAATATTTAATCTCATATGCGCATTGTCAATTTAAAGAACTTAAAGTGTTAACAAGTCATTTTCATATTTAAGAATATTATCCTCTTTATATATGTGTTTGTTATTAATTATATCGATTTTATCTAAACATATCACATAATTAAAAATAAATATAAATCTATTTAAAAATAAGTGCTTGCTGACGTATTCAGACAGTTTTCTATTATAGCAGTGCTTATTTAAATTTTTCTCGAAACAAAATATAACTTTAGTTAACTGTGAATATAGTTCTAATACGAAATAATATTTTCGAGCAAAAACTAAATAAAAAAATTAAAAATACACATTTACGCGATTGCAACAGTTTGATCCGCGGACATGATGCACAAAATTTGTTTATAATCCTTCGTATTTTCATTGCTGATTACAGAATTAAATTGAACACACGCGTTTGTTGTTATTGCGAATTTTCACCAATCCAATTTTTACACACGATTGTTGCAACAATTTTCGGAATATAAAATTTGCATCACAAATGCATAAAT